CCCGCACGTGACAGCCTGGCCAGCCGCGGCCACACCCCCGCCCGGGGCAGCAGAGAGCCCGAGCGGGCCGCGCGCACCTGAGCGCGGGAACTGGCGCTTTGCCCCCCTCGCTGCTGCTGAGCTCATCCCCTGCCTGGCTACGGAGGAAGCAGGCGGCTCCTGTAGCGCACCTGAGCGAGCCACTACGAGGCGGGTGCGTAGCGTGCTGCTGCCAAGCTGGGGCACCTTACAGGAGGGGATCTCCAAAGGGCGCAGACGGTCTCTGCGGACAAGACCTAAGAGCAGAGGGTTGGGGGGAGGCCAGGCCAGAGGAGTAGTTGGGAGTCAGTCCATGGAAAGCATTGAAACCCAGGAGGGCTCTCGTGCCCTGGATACAAAGGGAGCTAGGGGAGGGCGGGGCCCTGCTTTGGGCTTAATTTAACTCCCCCCTTTTTATTTGCATCCACCGAAGGGAACCAGAAACACCACCACCACCACTATGCTGCAGATATCTGCACTTGGTGCAGATATCTACCTTCCCAGGCTGGGGATATCATCCCATCTAACTCTATGAGCAGCATTCACATGACTGTAACAGGACCCTTCCCTCTCTTTGCTCCAGATTAGGCAGGAAGACTACTTGGAAAGGAGGAATTAAACCTGAACTCAAAAACACCTGACTAGCTCTAGTCTTGGGAGTTGTTCCAAAAAAGTGCCTCCTGCTGCCAGCCCCTGCAGAGCTTACCTGCAGGGATACTCTGAAAAATGAAAGCAAAAAAAAAGCAGAAAGTGAAGCTATAATACTTGCCTGTCTGCAAGTCAGAAAATCATGATCCCCATAGCAAAGAAGTTGTGTGTGTGTGTGTGTGTGTGTGTGTGCGCGCGTGCGCGCGCTCGCACGGAATGTATTGTATCCAATGCAACTTTAGAAGTAGGTATTGCTGCCTAAGGCAGGGCTACTCAACACACATCCCGTGGTCCATTTGTTTGTGGTCCACGGTGCGGTTTGGGTTTACGTGGGGCTCCACACGTAGCCCAGGGATGGGATCCTTTGAACATAGCTTCCACTGTGAACATGCTCCACAACAACAAGTCAATATAATGGTCTTCTGTTGATTTGCATTTTAGTAGTTAAATTCCTGGACTGCCATTGCTCATTAAAAGTGCTGTCATGGGTGGAAATTGGGTAAATATTGCATTTTATTAATATCAGCAGAACTGACTTAAATGGGGCCTGCGTGTTGTGTGGTCTTGCCTTAATCTTTGTATTCATGCCCGTCAGTGTGAAAGAAGCATAAATATGCAACCACACTTAAGTTGCGGCCCTTAGCATGTGCTGTGAGTATCATTGTGGCCCCAGGGGCTTCCACAGTTCAGTAGCCCTGGGCTAAGGAGTGAGTATAAGTGAGGCTATCAGGAAACACAATAAGGCTACGTCTACACTGCAGGCTTTTTGCGCAAGAACAATTGTTCTTGCGCAAAAGCTTGCGGAGCATCTACACTGCATGTGCGTTCTTGTGCAAGTAAATTTACAATAAAGCATCAGAAAAAAGGGCTTCTTGCATAAGAGTTATTCCTTTCCCCATGAGGAATAAGCTCTCTTGAGCAAGAGCTCTTGTGCAAGAAGGCAGTGTGAATGGACAACAGTGGTTTCTTGCACAAGAAACCCTATTGCTTAAATGGCCATCTGAGCTTTTTTGCGCAAGAGAGCGTCTACACTGTCATGGATGCTCTTGCACAATAGCATATCTCTTGCGCAAAAGCACAAAGCAGTGTGGATGTGCTCTTGCGCAAGACCTTTTGCACAAGAACTCTTATGCAAAACAGTTCTTGTGCAAGAAGCCTGCAGTGTAGAAATAGCCCATGAGTATAACTATAATCCAACTTTTGCCCTCCTGGAAGAGTGAATGGTCCCACTAGTACAGAGTATTGCAAAGTAATCCCCTTATGCCTGTGAGTTGAATATAGCTCCTGAGTTGCAGTGTTTCCCAGAGACATGATGAGCAAAGGTGTTACCCACAGAAAATCTGTATTCTGTTATCACTCTGCGGTTGACTATTACAGTAGCATTTTATATGTTCAGAGACTTGTATAAGCAGTAATAATTCCTCACTGCACCCTGGAAAGGGAGGTAAGTAGTAATATCTCTGCTTTACTGAGGGAGAGACTGAGCCACAGAGGATTGATATGACTGCCCAAGATTGTGTAATAATGCAGTTAGAGACAAAAGGAGACCTCAGGAATCCCTAGCCTTCTCTCCTGTGCTCAGTTCACTACTCCAGACAGTATCTAACCAGATGGAGCATCACACAAATTATGTACAACTTTCTACTCTCAGAAAGCAGATACATTTTCCACCACATCACTGACTGCTGGATAACTTCTCTAAGATCATTGATGTTGGCTCTAGAAGAAGACAGCATCTTAAATCTGGATTTAAGAGGGATTGGATGAAGAGATCAAAATTCAGTAAGTAAAATCCCTAAATATGAACATGTGCTGTGCGACTACATTCAGCCTTTATGCCATTGATAAGAATGTCATAAAAAGGCAAATTTGACACACAGCTCCAGGAGTTACCATACTAGGTAAGACCAGTGATTCAGTTAGTGCAGAGCAGAGTCTGTCTCCAATATTTGTTAGTTTCAGCTGCTTCTGAAAAAAGAAGAGACCCAAAGTGGGCAATTATTAATAACCTCCCCACAGGGGAAATTTCTCTAGTCCTTTCAGTCAAGGGTAGGTCTACACTTCAAGCTGGGAGTACGATTTCTACTAGCATGCTAAAACTATAGTGTAGCTGCAGCAGCATGAGCAGTGGGATGGGCTAGTGGCCTGGAGTTCTTACCTACAGTCTAGGACGGGTATCTCACTGCTTATGCTGTTGTGGCAGAGTATATGCTAGGGTCTTGTATGGGTATGTATGTGGGCAGCTACATCCAGGCCTAGGGAGAGGGGAGCCAACAGGGCTATTTGGCATGGGCCTCAAGCTCAATGGGGGCCTCAGATGTAGACACTTGTTAATTATATGGCATTTGATAAGTTTTGCAACTTGTTTTTATGCGCATCCCTCTTGTACCAAAATGTGACACACACTCTCTGCTTAGAGCTGCAAATTTAAACAAAGAAGAGATATGAACAAGGTTAGAAAAACATTTGTTAAATTAAAAATATCAAATTATGTCTCTTTTTTTATGCCTTATTTTGTTTTCATGGATCAATATATTTTTTTTTATTATTGCTGGAGGCCTCAAAAGCTGGAAGTGGCCTGGACCTCTGTGAGGACTTATTGCAGCTAGATTTTTAGCACACTAGCTCATGAGAGCTAGTATCAGTATGTCTCCTTGAGCTGGGAGTCTAGGACTCTCATTGACCCCCAAATGTAGACAGGCTTGGCTTTTAGTCTGAAACATGGAGGTATATAGTCCCTCCAGACTTTGCAGGGCTCTCTTTTTAATAACAGTCCACAAAAACATTTGGTTTTTGCTACTTGAGACAGAAAACAACCCTTTCAGATCCTTCCCGGTAAAACTTCACTGACTGAAAACCAAGAGATGAAAAGAGCCAATGTTCTGCACAGATTTTTCTTAGTATTCTTTATCAAAATGCTCTAAAATGAATTTTCGTTGCTTGCTTATTTATTGTTTTACCCTGCAATGTGATAGGAAGCTGTAAGAGATTTGAGAGAAACCGTTTTGCGTAGCTTCACTGTAGCTTCTGCAAGTACTTTTGCAATTGGCTGAGATGTTACTTTGTCATGTCCTATGGCAACGGGATTAAATCAAATCAGAACCTAAGGAATGAACTGTGCACTACTCCAAGAGAGAGGGGGTATGTTATTTTTCCCTCTAGCAGTGAAAGAAGAATAGAACTTAACACAGCTTTGTATTCAGAACACTGAAACCAGCATGTTCTACTGAGCTAAATCCCTGGGGCTACGTCTAGACTGGTATGATTTTCTGGAAATGCTTTTAACGGAAAAGTTTTCCATTAAAAGCATTTTCGGAAAAGCGCGTCTAGATTGGCAGGACGCTTTTCCGCAAAAGCACTTTTTGCGGAAAAGCATCCGTGGCCAATCTAGACGCACTTTTCTGCAAAAATGGCGATCGGGGCTTTTTTGCGGAAAACAAATCTCTGCTGTCTACACTGGCCCTTTTGCGCAAAAGTTTTCGGAAAAAGACTTTTGCCCGAACAGGAGCAGCATAGTATTTCCGCAAAAACACTGACAATCTTACATGAGATCGTCAG